TTCTCCTCTTCTTGAAGAAGAGATTCATATCTCACCGCACAAGACATGAGTTGGAACAAGTCAGAGAATTCTCTATCTTGGAATTTCTTCCTTAACTCAAAACTCAAACCCCCTTGTGCTAACTTGACAAACTCTCTCTCTGTCAAGTTGACAAAACAACGGTTACGAGCATTCTTGAAGTTTGTCAAGAAATGCTCCACCGACTCCCCTGGCTCTTGGCGCATGCGTGCCAAATCAGCCATGGAAACCTCACGCTCAAATCTATAGAACTGAGCATGGAAGATTTGCTCCATCTGCTGCCATGTTGGGATGGAGTTCGATGGCAAGTTGACATACCAGGCAAAGGCAGGTCCTGTTAATGAGTTTCCAAATACTCTTAACTTAATAAAATCTCCTACATCCCCACACTGGACAGTAAAACGTCCAATGTGCTCCACAGTAGACTGGTCCCTTGTCCCAGTGAATGTGGCAAACTCAGGCACTATAAACCCCCTTGGGCATGGGTAGAGTCTATTCACCCACTCAGGGTATGGTTTTCGATAAACAGGTGGCATGGTGGGTCTCACTCCCATGCCAAATTGCTCGGCAAGAAGTTGAGCCACCTGATCCCTTAGAGTGTTGGGATCATGCCCCCCTAGTTGCCCCCCTTGGGGTACGAAACCCATGGGGTCCATGCCATGCCCATTGAAATGGGGTGGCATGGGTGTTGGGTATGCTCTGGGAGGAACTTGATCTCCCCCAACTAAGCCTATTCCCCCTCCCATGAGAGCAGGCACCGTATAGGGCCTTGCCACTGGTATGGGTATGGGTGGCGGTTCCACTGGAGTAGAATGTGTAACTCCCAAGTTCTCACCACGTGGGAGAATTTCTCCAACTCCCACATTGGGTATCCCTTCCACTTGAGAAGTGGCAGGAATCTCGCCGCGATTCATGCGGTGAGGAGTTGGTTGGTTTGTCATCGTCGGAAAGAGGTTATCTTGCCGTGGCTGACCATTTCCGCCGCCGACGGGAGATGAACTAGAATTTACAGCATTGTTAATGGAATTTGGATTCCCGCCATCTAATGGCAGAGCTCTAGATTGGATTATTGGTGTGGTTAAAAACCTTATGAACTCATCAAAATCACTTTTATTCTTATTAACCACTTCAAATAATTGACTTAGACGTCTATCAACTCTAGAATTAAGACAGTCCATTTGAGAATTTACCTGATGAAAAGCAGCTCTAGCCTCCTCCATCATGCGACGGTTCTCCACCATCATTTGGCGGTTCTCCTCTGTGGCTTGACGGTTCTCTGCCACCAGCTTGCGGTTCTCCTCCATCATTTGACGAAGGACCCCCACTGCTTCACCAATATCTCCACTAGGATCGCCGTTGGTAGGATCTCCGCCCCACCATTGTTTCCGACCACTGCCTCTGACACTTGGCCATGTTCAATGTTGGCCACTTGCTCCTCCACAAAACCAGCCGGAGCGTCACCTTCTTGATTCCTTCGCCTCGGAGCCATCAAATCAAACACACGTGTCCCACCAGGTGTGCCAATTTGTTTTCCCGGCGAGAAAAACTAGATGAACAGAATTGGATTTTGCACCTTTGACTTCCAAACAAACGATCAAACAACACAGTTCACACCTCTTTGAACAAATTTCAAACAAGGGTGTTCAATGTTTTGATGAACTACGAGGCAAATCTACATTAAATTAGCCTTACTCCTATGGAGGTTCAGTGAGAGCTCCAAAAACTACGATTATGGCTAAAATCTGCAGAGGAAAAGATAAAAAGATCAAACTTGACAAGTGGTGTCGAGTTGTGATTTTTGCGAACCCCTTCTCTGTTATCTTCACCTCCTATTTATAGCCACCAGAAGTAACTGCCCCAAGAAATTGCTCTGGTGACGTGGAGTGGCGGTTACCCTCTCAACTGCTTCGACGGTTAGCTTGACGTTGGATGTAGACCAATCTTGGCCTCTCCTCTTGAGACCTCACTCCATGCTCTTGGTATCTCCTTCGTAGCTTTGCGTGTCTATAGAGAAAAAATGGCTAAGGCATGAAAGCATACCACGTGCCACATATGGGTGGGTACTCGAATCACTTGAGTCAAAAATGGCAAAAATACTTCACCATTATGGGAGTAGGGAGACCACGTGCCCACCTGACCTCCCTTGGCCACCTCATGAGGGTGGTGTCTTGGTAGCCCCCCCTGGCAACCTCATGGGGGTGATGTTGACCACGCATGGGGATTGCATGATCATGGCTTGGTGATCACCCTCGCTACCCCCCTTGGTACCCCCTGGGGGTGATATGATGGTGGCCACCCCCCTTGGTACCTCCTGGGGGTGGCTACCATACTCCTTGCCTTAGCCAAATTCGACCATCACCCCCCCTCACCATGTCCTGGGGGTGGCGGTATGATGCTCACCCCCCCTTGCCACGTCCTGGGGGTGGTATGATGGTGGCCACCCCCCTTGGTACCTCCTGGGGGTGGCGGTATGATGCCCACCCCCTCTGGGTGTCATGGGGGTGGCTCCCATATTTTTTAGCCAAATTTAGAGATACATGGCGCGCGTGGTGGCACGAAGTAATGGGCCCAAAAAACCCAATCTCCATGGCCCACTCAACTGATTTAAACTGATATAATTAAGTTGGCCTTATAAAGCCATTTAATTCTTTATTTTTAACCGATGTGGTACAATGTTAATTTTTATGGGTAAACATGTTGTGACACAATTTAGCCAAACAATGGACTCTAATTACTACTATTAAAGGGAAGGGTGATAATGGGCTAACATCAGCCAAACGGATGCAATTTTTTGTTGGGATAATGTCTATGAAGCATTATATTAGAAGACAATTTTTTCGACCCAAAACTTGAAAGGAAACTTTTAGTTAATCCAGGAACAACGATTTTTATAGTGTCTAAGGTCTCTCATTCGTTTTTTGAAGTGGTCCTTCCAACAACAGTAGCGCTCTCGGGGGGTTAATTATCTCGCGGGATTAACTGCCTGAGTCGTTGCCCTATTTGTTGGAGGTTCCAAGAAAGTACGGAACATTTGTTCTTTCGTTGCCCCCTATCCATATAGCTATGGTATTTTGTGGGATTAAGTGATATACTGAACTCGGCCCCAAGAATTAATTTTAGTTTGTGGTGGCGTCAAATTATGCTAGATGATCAGTCCCAAACCCATATTCTCCAAATAGTGTGCCTCTTGTGGAGAATATGGAAACCAAGAAATAAAGTGGTATTTGAAAATACCCAGCCTCATGTCCGTTCATTAGCCCTCCAATTCTCTTTCCAAATCCGCGAGGTGCTCTTTGCCCAGCCCGACCCGCCTCTCCTTCCTCGTGCTCTTGCCTCTACTAGACCTCTTCTTTGGGAATGTCCGCCTCAAAACTTTTTCAAGATAAACTTTGATGCTACTTTCTAAATCGCTAGTTCCTCGTCTGGCCTTGTTGTTCGCGTCTCGGATGGGTATGTGCTTCTTGTCGTGCTGCTCAGCATTATGGTATATCGGATCCTTATCTTGCAGAACTCCTAGCAGCCAGGGATGCGATCTCTCTTGCAACTTCTAGAAGTTTGTCTCCGGTCATCATCGAAGGCGATGCAAAAGTGGTCATCCGTCAGCTCAAACTCGGTCTAGTGGAGGATTCGATTGGTGGCCCCATCCTTCTAGATTGTTGTTGTCTTCTCGAGTCTCGTTCTCTTTGTGTAGATTTTAGGGCAGTTCCGCGGACTGTCAACTGGGCTGCTCATAGAGTGGCACGTAAAGCCCTGCTGCTATCCTGACTAGAGTTAGTTTCTTTTGACTTTGTTGGTTGGCTTGTTAGTGGGATGGGAAGGGGTTGTGGGTAGTGGTTCTTTCTAACTATGTTCTTGATATTTCTCGGGGAAAAAAAATCAGCCAAACAATAGGGGAAGAACAATAAAAAAAAATATTTGGAGAATTAAATTGGGAAGAAAGAGAATACGCCAAGTGGCGCACTCTAATTGAATGGTTGTAAAATAAAAAAAAGTTTTGAAAAATAAAGAATAGATTATTAACAATTACTATTATAACCCTATATAGATTTAAGGAGAGAATACGCCAAATACCGCCATAGCTCATGAATTATCGGGCTTAAATTTACACAAGCTTATTTTATCGAGCTGCTAAACTATGTTAATGTTTAAGGTCGAAGTATAATAAGGATTTTCCAAATAAACGATTCACATATTCAAATTTTCTCTTCTCTCAATCTTCCACGTCAACCTTGATTTTCCATGTCACTGTTATTTATATGTTATTATTTTTTTAAATAAATGCTAACTAAAAAAGTAAATGTGTAAATAAGCATTACTAGGATTCAAATACACAACTTACAATATAGTGTAAAGTTTCTAACTAGTAAGACAAATTCTATTTGATGATATTAATTGCAAAACCAATCAATGAACTCCATCAATTATATTAATATATTTTAAAGGAAGTAATATTATTCATATTTCTATAACAATGTTTGTTTTCTTATAATACCATGTACAGTACTCTTATGGAAAACCACATACTAAAGAAATCCAAACAAACTCGTAAAGTGACAATTGGATTGAACGTTTATATTCAAATAAGACATGCCCAACAACCATTTATACAAACATTACCCGACTAATGGACCGAGTAAAAAAGCTAGTACATATTATGGAGGATGTATAAAAATGGATTACCTCGACCCAACCAATAACCAACAGTCCACTTACTTGATCGGGTTAACGGACTAAAACGGGTTGACAATCTTTATTGGAATTGAAACCACAGATCGAAGGATTCGTTCAAAATTGGGTTTATAGTCCCTAATCGATTGTATAATTAATTCACTAGAGAAACATGAGGAAGAAGAGAAACTGTCTTGTCACCCTGATCTTTGGAAGTAAATCTCAAGAATGGACCATAAAAAGTGACCTTTCATAGATAGTTAGACCTTAGCTTATTCAAAATTCCGTACAAAAGTTATCAAAATCGCAAACATCACCTGCCCAAGAAGCTCCTTCATTTATCAATCCCATTTTGCCCAGAATAATTCTCAGCAGGACCCAGTTCAGTTTCAAATTTCAATACCTGAAGGAACTGGAAAGGGTAAATCCCAATTTCCAATTTCACATCCCCCTGCTACCTCTACTCCCAAAGTCCGCAAATGCATATGCTTCACTTAAACCCTAGCTCCCTCTTCTTCCAGTCAAAACCCAGTTCTTCAATCCCGCTCTCGCTGGCAGTTTCCACTTCATTCCGCTGCTTTGCTGTCGGAGGAGACGTCCCCGCCAGGCCAGACTCCCCCCGGTGGTTCCCCTTCATTTCTTCTTCTGCTGCTGATGCCGGCGGCTTCCGGACTGGGAAAGACTCCGATGGAGGAGGAGTTGGTTCCGGCTACGGTTCTGCCGGCTTGGACGGCGGCTTGTCCCAGAGGCGAGGGGACGGCGGCGGGAGTGGAAGCAGGTTAAATGCAAGGGAGAAGAAGTGGTCGAGGAACAGGGAGAGCTACTTGGTGGATGATGATGATGTGCTCCCACTTCCCATGACTTATCCTAATACTAAACCCGTCACTCCCAAAGAGATTGACAAGCGATTGAGATGTGACCCTGAAGTTGAGGTAAGTGAAGTTTCAAGAACATGTTAAAGCTGAGAACTTTATGTTTCTAAGGCCGCCATTTACATAGTGGTCCAATGGGATGTCAGTGCCTCCCATTTTTCAGCTGACTGGATTCAGTGTATTTAGTTTTGGACAAGGGGATGAATGGAAGCTCATTAGTCATTACCATTTTTTCGCTTCTGATTATTTACCAGGCTTCGTATGATGATGGTGTTAAAGGGCTTTTGTTTCACTGCTTATGACATTTGGTTATTAGTGATGTATTACTGAAGCAGTGACTTTTCACTTCTGGAACTGTAGGATTGTAGGGAAGTGGTTTATGAATGGACTGGAAAGTGCAGGAGTTGCCAAGGGACAGGGGATGTCAGTTATTTTAACAAAAGAGGGAAAGAGATTATCTGCAAATGTGTGCCTTGCCAAGGGATCGGTATGTTTTCCTTCTCTACATGCTGCAGTACTGCAGCAATGAATGAACGATGGCTAGATGGTATACGAAGTAAAGAGTAAATCTGTGCAGCTTCTTGGTGGGCTTATGAGAAAATCGAATGTGAAAAATGTTTATGTAGATCATTGGGGAGCTTAGTGCATAACCGAACCAACTGATAAAATGCTTAGTATTACGGTTAGAGGACAGTCGACAGATTTTTGTAACCGGCTTCATTATGATAATTGGGAGATGTTGCTACCACATCTTGTATCTGACACTTTCAGAATCTGGCTTTCTAGTTTATTGAATGGGATAAGGTTAGGAAAAAGGAATCATATTCTGTTGCAACCATCCATGAAAATTTCAGATTTCTAAAATGCTAGTTGCAGTTTCCGAAGGAACGAATAAATGATGCTGGAAAGCTCGATGGGTTGAGCCAACAATTATGTTTTTTCCCCCTTAATGCTGCTAATATTTCGATCCTATACCTTAGGTCCACAAAGTTTGTCACCTATGGTTTTGGCATAGAATAATTGATGATCGTAGAAAGTGGCTACTAGTTGGGTGCTATCCGTACTCAATTGTGCTATCAGATAATGTTTGTGAGCTGTATTCTTTTTGTTTGTCACAATTGTGACAATAAGCATTTCCTCTGGGAGCTGACTTACCCTTTTGAGCATCTTTTCTCAATGAACTTCCTAGTTTACCTATTTCTTTTCCAGATTCCAATTGGCTAACAATCTTATTCAAGCTGTACAGGATATGTCCAGAAGATTACTGCTCGGAAGGACATTGAAGTAATGGAGGATTTGGACAATGGAAAGCCACCATGAGATCGACCACCGAGTCTTTTTTAGGTTCGGACATCAGAGTATACCTTCCATGAATTCTGGTTTTAGTACAGAATCATAGAGACTGACAAGCATATATTGACATGGAGAATATAGGGCAAAAGGTAATGGGCATGGGCAATGGACTTCAAATTTGTTAACCTTTTGAAGAAAGGAATCTATTCTTTCCGTTGAGCTTCTTCAACCATGGCTTTCTTTTTCATGTGTACATCTCTGGAAGAGGTTTCTCACAAGTTGATCTCAGGAATAAGAAAAAGCCGTCTTTACTTTATTCTATCCTTTCCACCTTCCTTTATATACATGCATGGAGTTCATACATTATAATAGCATTAACATCTTCTCCATCTCGCAACCTCCTTTGCTGCTAAAAATCCCCATGTCGAACGCTAGCTTTCTGGAGTTTCAGTACAAGCTCTCAAAGAACAAGTTCCTCCGAAAGCCTTCTCGGATGCTCTCCTCGCGCAGCAGGCAGAACTCAAGCAGCAGCATACCAATAATGTTGCAGCCGAGTGTGAAGGAGATGAGACAAGTATTCAACAAATTCGATTCGAATGGAGATGGCAAGATCTCTCAGCAGGAGTACAAGGCCATGCTGAGGGCTCTAGGGCAGGAGTTCATGATTCCGGATGTGCCCAAGATCTTCAAAGTAGCCGACCTGGATGGAGATGGGTTTATCGATTTCAACGAGTTTGCGGAAGCTCAGAGAAAGGAAGGAGGCGTTCGCACGATGGATTTGCAGAGCGCTTTCAGGACGTTTGACGCGAATGGGGATGGGAGGATAAGCGCGGAGGAAGTCCTGGGAGTCCTGAGGCAGCTTGGCGACCGGTGCAACCTCGAGGATTGTAGGAGGATGGTTAGGGCAGTCGATAGCGATGGGGATGGGCTGGTTAACATAGATGAGTTCACCACCATGATGACTCGAACCCTCGTGCATAATAACTAAATGTGGCTGGGTGTTCAGTGTTGTGTGAAGAGATCTTTGCTTAATGTCCTTCTAAAATCTGAACCTTTTCTTCTATATCGGTTGTTTCTTTTATCTTCAGTAGATGTCTCATGTACAGATTCATAAATAAACGTGTGCATTCTCGTACTTCATCAAGTTCATCTTACCTTTATAACTGTTGTGAAATCAATCAAAAAATGAAATCTCAATTACGAATGGCATACGTGGACCTAATTGTGAATTGTGATCATAAGCAGCAGCAGTAGGCCAGTTGTCGTTCAGATCATGTATGCCCATCCGTTCAAGCAGCTCGTGCACTTTTATACATAAGGTCCCAGAAAATAGAGCCAAGTGAATAAACTAGGTAACTACATTGTTCTACTGATAATATTGTTTCAGTAATCTTGTATCCATACAAAAGGAAGAATGGATCACCAGTAGTCTCCACAAGAGCACTTGCCATCCCTGAAGTGGTGAAACCTCTTATTATCCCTAACGATCAACTCCCTCCCTACGATCCTGGACATAATCTTGATGGCATTGTGACAGTCACCGCAGATCCGGAGGTTCTTTATGATCCTCAGTGTCGTCCTCGCCGGAGTGCTGATGAGTCCATAAGCAATGGCCAACCTCTCGCTGTGGTATAACAAAGCTTGCTCTTTCGCCTCTTGATCAATGTCATGAAGAACGTATCTGGTATCTGGGACATAACCCGAGTTCTTCAACTCCATCAGTTCCTTGAGTTTAGGATCATCCTTGTAAAGAGCAGGATAACGGTACTCTGCTATTCTACTCTTCCCTTCCAGCATGCTGACTGCAGTACGCTTCACTGGAGGTGGTGTAGGTATCTTTTTAGCCGCTGCCTTGGAAGGATCCATTGAAACAATCAGTTCTTCGAGGCGATCTTCAAGATCCACATCTCCGTGGATTCGAGCATAGTTCATGTATTTCTCCCAGATTTCTACAGAGGGATCAAAGGGCAGTTTCTCAATATACTGTTCGATTTCATTGAGAAACCCACATTTGCCAAGTACATCAATCATCCCAACATAGTGTTCCATTTGTTGATCGATCCCAAAATCGTTCTTCATCGACTTGAAATGGATGAACGCCTCATCCACAGCATCTGCACTTCCACAGGCTGATAATACAGCGAGGAACGTTTCCTCAGTGGGTTTCAGATCTAGCTTCCTCATCTGCTCAAACAGTTGCAAGCCTTCATCTCCCAAGCTATTGTTTGCATAACCATGGATCATTAGGTGCCAGGTATCCATGTTTCTTTCTGGCATGTGATCAAACACCCTACGAGCATCAGTCATGCTCTCGCATCTGCCATACATCTCAATCACCTTATTGTTCAACCTGAGATCACCCCTGCAAGTCGATTGCAGAAGGTAGTCGTGCACTTTCTTGGCATCCTCGAGTTTGCTACACAACCCAAATAGAGAATCGAAACAAGCGTAATCAGCTCGAAGGCCTTTATCCATCAACTCAATTGCTTCCTTGACCTTCCCTTCCTGGCACAAACGCAACAAATCGGCTAATGAAGCCACTGGAATAACAGGCTCAGCTTCGAAATTTCTGGGTTGGGGATGCTGCACTTGAACTTGGTTATTCCACTGATTTGGAGCTCCACGTTGGCCGTAGTTCTGGACATTATGATTCACCTGGGCGGGGGGATTATGGTGCTGAGGGTAGCTCTGACCACCTGGAGAATTCCAGTGACCTGGGCCTCCTTGAGGAGGTGGATGTTGCGGCTGGTTGAATCCACGATTAGGGTATCCCTGATCTGGATTAGCATTAGTATTAGGATTAGGATATCCTATACTGGGAAATCCCTGGTTGGAATTCTGCCTTTGATTCGAAAAGTTGCCCTGATAATTCCCCTGCCCTGCCCCCATCTGTGGCGGAGGGCTCTGCTGAGGGTGGTGCCACTGGTGATGGTTGCCTTGCTGTTGCTGCGGCGGAGGGTTCTGCTGAGGAAGGTGCCACTGGTGATGGTTTCCTTGCTGTTGCTGCGGCGGCGGAGGTACTCTATTCTCCCAGCGGGGAACTTGATCAGTATGCCTCTCGCCATGGAAAACCCTAGGCTCGGAGTGAGATGGTGGTGGTGGTGGTGGTGGTCGGTGGAATTCATTGGGGATTGCCGAGGAAGTGCTCAGAGTTCTGACGGCAGCTAGGACTCTATCCAAGGGAGAGAGCGAGAGGTGTGGAAGTAACCGTACCTTGATGACGGAAGACGAGGAAGAGAGCGGCGTCCGCGAGCGGCGTACCGCCATGAAAGACGCCATTTTGCTGGACTGTCGATTGAAACCCAAAGAGATACGGAAGGGAAGGCAGCACCGAAACTCGCCCAGAAAAAATAAATATTAAATTATAAAACCCTAGTTAAACCCCCTTGCTAGAATAGGAAGGCAGAAGGCAAAGTGGGATCGGTGATAACGAGGTGGAAGGAGGAAAAGGGCTGCGGGAGGTGGGAACGGTGATAAAGACGGCACCGGCGAGCGGCAGATATTTGGCTTTGGCGAAGAGAGAAGATCGCCGGGGTCTGAGGTGGAGAGAGTGAGCGAGGAGGAAGATAAGAGAAAGCGAGTCTGATTGATTCGCCCTAACAGGATTGCAGGGAAGAGAAGCCTGAAACGACACCGCATTATCCAGTACCGTGGGTTGTTTGGTTTCTCGGAGGGAAAATAAAAAATCGCCGTTGCCGGGGATCGAACCCGGGTCACCCGCGTGACAGGCGGGAATACTTACCACTATACTACAACGACTGTTGATGACGCCAACGAGTTGTTTTTTTATACCATCGTTGACATCTGCTTTGTGTTATTATTTTCGAGGATACCTAAAGGGTTAAGTAAACATTGATTAGGATTCTCTCAATTGATGCATTTCCTCAAATTATGCAAATGTATTTTGGTGTGAAGTTGACATTGTAATTTTTTTGTATAGAAAAAATAACACACTTTTCAAGACTCAGAGACACTACCATGCATTTATTATCACTTCTTCTCCAACTCTCTAACTAGCCACCTTCGCCGCATTGAAATCCTCTCTCCTCTTTTCTTGTTTCTTCTGTCGACAAACCATCATTTCAATTCATAAATGAAAATTGAGGATTTCAAAGTTGCACCGAGGATCCCATCTTCCTTCTTCTCCAACCACTTCATGGCAAATTCCTTGAGAGACCGGACGAGAAAGAAGGCCTCTCTCCTTCCTCTCCTCTCTCTCATTTGTTTTGCTTCCATCTTCCTCCTCCTTTTCCTTTCCCAAAGGACTCCAGTCTTTCCGGGTAAAATTAAATAAACAATGAAAGATCTCCTTCGATTCCTAACGAAAACATATGTTGCATCCTTTCTGCTTTGATTCCCGATGAGTTGCTGAGTTAGGTTTCCACCTTCGTCTTCATGGTGAAATAACTCAATTTTCTTGTACCCAGAGAGAGAATAAGGTTGGGGCTTTGATCGAAGTAAAAAGTACTAGAGTTGTTGTGTTATTTTCTTCTTCTCTGGAATTACACGAGTGAGAGGAGAAAGGAATTGGAGATGAGGGTAATGGATTAAAGTAAAGATATAAGGGATAAAGCTGGATTAAAATTTTTGGCAATCAATCATTTGTTTACAATCTCAACTTTGTGTAGAGATTGTCAATAACTCATTTTGAGTTATTAGAGGACGGCCCATAAAAGGTAATACATGCATTCTAGCTCAACAGAGGGGTCCTCATTGGATGTCAATGGCTAGTTGGATATGGATAGGGCTAGTTGGATTCGGCTGTGGGAGGCTAATATTCCACCAAAGTTGAAAGTGTTTGTCTGGAAAATCTCTAGTAGAATTCTCATGTCGACAGGAACACTAATAGAGAGGGAGGTCTCTATGCTCCCTCAGTGTCCTGTTTGTTGGGCAGACTCTGAAACAATGGAACATTTGTTTCTTGATTGCCTAGTTGCTCGAGCTTTTTGGGACCATTTTGTTTTTGAATATTTTGGGCAGGGGTTGCCTCATCACACGCAATGTAGTTAAAATCGCGCTTTAAAACTTAAAAACTTATGATTTTACGTTTCTAGGTCACTAAAACGCTTCTCCACAAAATCTCAGCTTTTATAACTTAAGTAGAAACTCGTTTTCGACTACATTGGTCACACGTTTCCGCTCTTTATAAAAAAAAGTTGATGTCTCTCATACATCAATCGATTATGTTCATGGCGGTTGTTGTTGTCCTTTGGAGGATATGGAGATCCCGGAACTGGGTAGTCTTTGAGGGTAAACAGTTCGGGATTGCGGCTTTGATGCAGAAATTTAACCAGCAGGTCCAGTAGTGGGTTTGTTTGCCGGTGGACCCAATACTCTTGTCCTCCAACCCTCTGATTTATCCCTTGGGTCCTAATGGCTCTATTGTGGTTGTTGCCTGTTTGTATGTGGGATGAGGCAATAAGGAGTGAGTCTCATTCGGCAGACATTATGATTATTATCAACCAAGCTACAGAGATTCTTTTGGCGAAGGGGGTTAAGTTTCCGTTGACTGATGATATGATCCTATGGTGGTCGAGTTACTTGTCCTTCGGGAGGCTATTATATGGTGTTTAAGCCACGACTTTACGGAGATGAGGTTTGAAGGTAATGCCAAAGTAGTCATTGAGAAAATCATACGGGCTAATACCAGAGTTAATCGGATGGGGTCTATTCTCGAAGAAATCGTGCAATACTTCGCAATTCATACTGGATTTAGTGTTTGATTTGTAGGTCGGTGTAACAATATGGTAGCTCATTTAATAACTAGAAATGCCATGCCATTGTACCCGACTACGAGTCGTTTTTTTATTTCCAAATCTAACTGAACTCTAGGATGTAACTATCTATTTTTTCGAAACAATATATGATTAACTTTTGTCAAAAAAAAAAAATCCACCGCTGAAATTTACAAAAAATTCTCAATAATTAAAATGCCCCATGAATCCAATTTGCAAAATCTAATCAATATTACCTAAACGACCAAACTCTTACTACTGGATCGTAAGCTAGTAAATTAGGGTTCCATACATTAGTTGGTGGGTAACTATTCTGTATAGTGATGGGTGTACGTAATATTAGGAAAAAGTATATATGTACATCCTCCGCCCTGTCTTCTTCCTATGTTTCTCTGTTGTTGGGTTGCTTGTACATAATAGTATCAAGGCAAATAAGGAAATAGTTTAACCGCAGCCAACTTGTGCACTCCGTCACAGATAATGCTGTATAATACGTTGTACGATACGTAAGAACGAAATTAGAACTAAATTACAAATTGAGATCAAAGGTCACCCTCCTCACTCCTCAGCCTGTATCCCACATGTAGGGGTGGCGGTCCGGTCCGGTTAAATTGGACCAAATTGATACGGTTCAAGTCCGGTCTTTTCGGGAATATAAGGACCAAAGATTGAATTGGATACAGTCCGGTCTTGATTCGGTCCTGTCTTGACCCGGTCCGGTCCCAATTTGATCTTGATTTTAGGTGTTGGGGGTCTTTTATCTGGTCTTTATCCGGGTTTTTTACCTCAAATCTAAGTCCGAATATGAGATTGGATTGTTTGCTATCCGGACCCAATCCGGTCCCGATCCGGATTATATGGTCCGATTTTGGGTAAAACCAAACAGTCCGGGACCAAATAGCCAGCCCTACCCACATGCACAGCTACAGGCTTTAAAAAAGAACCAATATTAGTCACCACTACACGTTAATTAATGACAAAAACCCAACAACTACGTACCTATATTAATCAACGTTTTCTCCTAAACATTTCCCAAAAGTCTCAACTGAAAATTTGGTTGCTTCCCCACGTAAACGATATGCTTTCTAGTTCTCCGCAGCCCCTATTTCCTCAATCCGCCCGCGACGACGAAACCCCGCCGCCGCCAGGCGATATAAACGGCGCCGTTTCGGTGGACGAGTTCCTGAGGCTCAACTTCCAGTCCTTCACCATCCGCCAGCTCATCCAGGCCATCCTCGTCTCCGTCCCTCACTTCTTCGACGGCCAGCAAACCTTCATCAGCCTCTTCGCCGACGCGCCGACGCCTCAAACACAGCGCGCCTGCTCGACCGCCACCGCCGCCAATCATCGATCCCATGCGACGACGACTGTGACCGAGTGGGGACTCGACTGCGGCACCACCAGCTCGCTCGTCGCCGGGCTCCCGGCTTCGTCCTTCTTCGCCGGGTGCCTCGTCGGCGGGTTCTTCCTGCCGGCGCTGAGCGACACGTGGCTCGGCCGGAAGAAGCTGCTGTTCCTATCGTGCTTCGGGATGTCCGTGGCGGCGCTGGCCACGGCGTTCAGCCCCAACGTGTGGGTGTACTCGGCGCTGAGGTTGGCGGCGGGGGTTTGCCGGTCGTCGATCAGCACGTGCGTGCCCGTGCTGCTGACGGAGTGCGCCGGGAGCCGGTGGCGTGGTCGCGCCGCCATCGTCGGCTTCCTGGCTTTCTCGCTCGGATTGCTGTCCTTACCGGGTAATTTGAATTAATTAATCGATTTGTGGAATGTTTAGTATAATTATTATTTTTGTTTGTTAGAGACTGGAGAGTGGAGTGGAGTTAGAGTAGTCTTACGTACGATGCTCTCACATCCTTGACGTTGTCCCCTCTATTGTTTTTTAGTGGTTGGTTTATCTTTAAAGGAGCTCAGTGAAATTATTATAAATAGAGTACGTACAGATGGAATTGATCTCATGACAGACTAAACAAGTTTAGATGGGATCGAATTGATTTCGTGTCATGCATGTAAGGAGTCCTTGGGGGGGAAAAAAAAGATAATTAGGGTTTTCTTATTATTATTCTATAAAATAACATTTGAGGTCTTTCTTTTAATTAGCTGATGGCTAGTTTGAGTGCTCTTCAACAAACTCTCTTTTGTTTGTTGTGTTTTGCTAAAGATGATGTCCCAACCCCTTTCCTTTTGGGAATGCCGGATATGTGGTCGTTTCGCGTTCATTGGTTGGATACAATGTCATTTTTGTTAGTAGATTATCCGTGTCCATCCGATGAACCGCCAAGCTGCCATACACAATTCAAAGTTCCAAAACGTCTGTTAAATGGTTTTGACATATGAGTTGTGAGCACCATAACAAGATTGCCATTTTAGTATCACTTTTAGAATATTGTGTTTAATGTTTCCAAGAAGTACTTGTTGGGGAGAAAGAAAACACAAATTGACAACTTGTGTATAAATATTATGAGATTGTGTTTTGATACTTGTGTGATATATATCTCAAGGAATGAACCGTTCATCGGTTTTAAGTCCCAATCAATTATGTCCATAAGCTAAGTAATGACTTGTAATATTCGTATTGACTTTGAATCTGAAATGATTCATTTTCATAATACTACATATAGCCTATATTGTTTTATCAAACGTGCCCCTCTACTATTTTTTACATCAAGCATGCCTTTGTACTTTGTAAAAATGATCAAATATGCCCTTATGTTCAAAATTTCATCCAAAAACCGTTAACCACGATCAAAATTTGGTTTGGAAGACACAAATGTCTAAAATATCCCTAGTAATTTCAATTTAGAATTTTGTTTGGTTCTTTTGTATAGCCAATGATTTTTATAATTTCACTTTAACGAGACCTGGGAAATAAAACAGGGGACAAAACTGAAAAATTTCCCTCTCATTTGCCGATGTCGGGTCATCTAAATCTCGGTTCAACCATGATTGATGATTTTTTTCAATTAGAATTTTAACAGAAGGGCATGTTTGATCATTTTCTCAAAATACAAGGGCATGTTTGATGTAAAAAATAATAAATAGCATGTTTGATAAAATGACATAATAGAGAGGCGTATTATACATACAACCCTACTACATATCATATAATGATGGGATCTCAACACGTTTAGCCTAGCTCAAATTCTCATCAAACTTATTAGCCAGCACACAAAACCCTATCAACACATTGTTTAGTTTGATTCAATCCTCAAAACCTGTACTTTGTCGTCTTATAATTAATTAATAATGAATTTACTTGCAAAAATCAAATCAAATCTTGTTGCGCACGTATTTTAATCTGTTTTTCAAATTTTATTATCTTCCATATATTCACTTCTTCTAATAATTTCTGATTCCACATGCAAATAGGTATAGCCTACGCCAACCGATCCTCATCGTGGAGGCTCCTCTACATCTGGACAAGCACCCCGTCCATCATCTTCTGCATCCTATCCTACCCTTTCGTCACCGAGTCCCCGCGGTGGCTCCTCCTCCGCGGCCACCGCGACCAAGCCGCCGACGTCCTCACCACCCTCTCCTCCCCGTTCACCCTCCGCCGCAGCAAAACCTGCAGCCACAACATCCCCGAGGATCCCACCACCAACAACATCGCAGCTGCCTCCTCCTCGGTCAAGCAGCTGTTGGGGCGCAGGTGGGCCCGACAGAGGCTGGCCGTGGTGGCGGTTCTGGCCTTGGGGACGGGCCTCCAGTTCTTCGTCCTGCTCCTCGGCGTCGGCAACTTGCACCACCTCAGCCTCTACCTCGGCGTCGCCCTTAACGGCCTCCTCGACGTGCCGGCCTACGCGCTCACGTTCCTCCTCATCGAGACGCGCGGCAGGAGGCCCGTCCTCCTGGCCTCCTGCCTCGCCAGCGGCCTCTGCAGCCTCGCCTACGTGGCGGTGGGCGGTGAGGTTGGGGTGGTGAAGGTCGTGGTGGAGCTGGGGGCGTTGTTCTGCGTGTGCATGGCGTTCAACGTGCTGGTCATATACACGATGGAGCTGTTCCCGACGAGCGTGAGGAACACGGCGGCTGCGGTGGGGCGGCAGGCTATCATGGTGGGTGCCGTCATCAGCCCGCTGCTCGTTGCCGGCGGGAGGAGGGCGGGGGAGTTGGCGAGCTACGGTGTGGCGGGAGTGGTGGTGGTTTTGTGTGGGTTGGGTGTGGTTTGGCTGCCGGAGACCAAAGGGTTGGCCATTTCGGATACTTTGGACGAGCAGGAAAACAGGGAGAACAACGTCGGCGCGTAATAATGAGTTTTGTATTTATGAAGTTATTTGGACAACATAAGTATCCAACACATGCATTAATTTAGTTTCTAGTATAAGAAGACAAAGAGTACAGGTTTGAGAATTAAATCAAACTATATAAACAATGTATTGATAGGGTTTGTGTGCTGGCTAATAAGTTGATGAGAATTTGAACTACCAGGCTAAACGTGTTTAATTAGATCCCATCATCATATGTAGTATCATAACAATGAATCATGTTAGATTCAAAGTCAATACGAAAAACAAGTCATTACTTATGGACTGAGTCATAATTTATTGAATGAGGCTTAAAAGTTTAAAAACCGATGAATGGTTCATTCTTTTGAGATTTCACGCAACTATCAAAACACAATCTCATAATATTTATACACAAGTTGACAATTTGTCCTTTCTTTCTCCCAACAAGTACAAATTGGAAACATTAAACATAATAGTCTACAAAATGATACTTTGGGAATCACTAATTACACAATCTGTTTGTACAATATATATATATATATATGGTGGCTACTTCGGTGCACTCACTTTTTTGGGTGCATTCAGTGCACCCACCTCTAAAAGTGGTCATAATACATCAAATTTTAAAATTTAATGGGTAGCATTAGTCTCATATGATGATATAACATAAAATCACAACTAATCAACCCATTACCCTAACCTATTAACATTCAATTTTGAATCTAAACCCAAAATCCCAAATTGTAAACCCTAACCCTAACCCTAAATTCCTAAACCCTGAATCATTCAAATTAAAGTGAACCTTGATTGATTTTTGTACAAAGTCATGTGGTTCTTGTTCATCATACTACAAGGGATGATTGACATCGTTTTCACATGAATCGTCTGCTCAGAATGACGATTATGAGGCGGGTGCATTGAATGCACCCAAAAAAGTGAGTGCACCGAAGACATAACCATATATATATATTTGAAATATACAATATTTAGACAACTAATATGATTTACTTTACATATTTGTTATATTTTAATACTAATTATATATATATATATATGGTGCCTTCTACGGTACCCCGGGTGAAATCCAGGGTACCGCATACCTTAAGTACGAAAACGCTATCTAGACCTCGAATTAGTAGGATTTTTGGACATGATACTATTCCCTAACCCTTAATGAGTGAACCCTAGGTCCTAATTATCTAAATCATAAACTATAAACCCTAAGATGGTGCATTGATTTCCCCCCTATATTTGGACGAATCATAACCGTCGATTATTGTTTCTAACTAAATTGATCTTGGGGTATAATATTTAGAGAATTAAGACCTAGATTTTGATCTTTAAGAGTTAGAGTATAGTATCATGTTCGAAATATCAATCAATTCAAGTTCTGGATAGCGTTTTCTTACTCCTGGTATGCGGTACCCCGGATTTCACCCTGGGTACCCTAGAAGGCATATGGTGAAATCCGGGGTATCTTGAGTATGAAAATGCTATCTAGACATTGAATTAACAAATTTTTTGGGCATGATACTATACCCTAACCCTTAATGAGTGAACCCTATGTCCTAATTATCTAAATCATAAACTATAAACCCTAAGATGGTGCATTGATTTTTTTGCCTATATTTGACGAATCATAGCCGTCGATTATTGTTTCTGACTAAATTGATATTGGAGTATAAAATTTAGAGAATTAAGACCTAGATTTTGATCTTTAAGGGTTGGAGTATAGTATCATGTCTGAAAGATCAGTCAATTCTAGTTCTGGATAACATTTTCTTAATCAAAGTAAGTGGTACCCCGTATTTCACTTTGGGTACCGTAGAACTCCTTATATATATATATATGGTGGCGTCTTCGGTGCACTCACTTTTTTGGGTGCGTTCAGTGCACTCGCTTCATAACCATCATTTTAAACATGCGATTTATGTAAAAATGATGTCAATCATCACTTATGATGTGATGAACAATAACGCACATGAATTTGCACAAAAACCATTGTAGATTTACTTTAATTTGAAGGATTTAGAGTCTATAGATTTAGGGTTAGGGTTTACAATTTGGGGTTTAGGGATAGAACTCAAAATTGGAGGTCTAAGGCTTAGGGTAATCGGCTAATTAGTTGTTATCATACGTTATATCATCATATTACACTGATTCTACAAATTAAAATTCAACATCTGACACCTTAAGACTAGTTTTGAGTTGGGTGCATTGTACGCACCCATTTTTGTGAGTGCACTGAAGTAGTCACCATATATATATTGTGGCTTCTACGGTACCCCGGATTTCACCATCGGTATCGTAGAACTCACAATATATATGGCAAAGGCTAGTGTACGACTGGAGTACGGTGTATTCCTGTGTTCACACTTGTTATTTGCACTTCAATATATTTCACTGAATCAGAACCGTTGATTATTATTTTTCTAGATTAAATGAATCTTGTGGCTCGGGTTAGAGAATTAGGAATTGGGGTTCATCCATTAGAGGTCAGGGTATAGTATCATGCCCCGAACTCAAGTTAATTCGTGGTCTAAATAGTAAAACTCAACGGACGTACTATAGCCTGAACCATATATTATGGTGGCTACTTCGGTGCACTCAACTCTAAATGTGACCATAATACATCGAATTTTGAATTTTAATTAGTAGCATTAGTCTAATATGATGATATAACATAGAATCACAACTAATCAATCCGTTACTCTAATCCCCTTAACCTTCAATTTTGAATCCCAACCCATACCCCCAAATTGTAAACCTAAATCCTAACCCTAAATCCATAAACCCTAAATCATTCAAGTTAAAGTAAATCTTTAATGACTTATAAAAATTCATGAATCGCATGCTCATACCACAAGTGATGATTGACATCATTTTCACATGAATCGCCTGCTCAGAATGACGATTATGATACGAGTGCATTGAATGCAAAAAAAAAAAAAAAAGAGTGCACCAAATACACTATCATATATATATATGGGTCACACTCGTATGCTCCTTACACATAGTATGCGACAGATTTTCCACACCGTTGATTTAATATGATGGCTTGTATTAAAAATGATAATATTATCTAAAAATTTACAAATTAAAGATAATTAATGGATTCCTTTACATTTTCATACGTTCTCTTTAATCCCCCCAGACAAATTATTTCACCTATTTTTCTAGTACGGTACCTAATTCTTTTAATCAAAACTCAAACATACCCAATTTCTTAATTAGGAGCAAAATCTCAAACAACATTTTACCTATCTTTTTTTAGTTTCTTCAGCACGTTCGTCGGTGTTAGGGGCTCCTTCGTATATGATTGTGCTGATCCTGATGATCCTCTCCTACGCCTCCGAGACGGATCTCCCCTTTCCTGATCCTCGACCTCCCCAAGCTCCGGTCCGTCGACGTCGCCTGGGTCCAGGCCGGTTACCCGGTTCCTCGAGGGACGAGGAAGAAAGGAAAGAACAAAAGGTGGAAGACAATTTCAGTTTTCTAGAATCCATGCGAAGGGATTCTTTGACCTATTTTTAATTCTCATTCCCATTGGTACTCCTGTTCCCAGTGAACTCTTGGGCGCCGGGCGCCGGCTTACTGATGACTAACTGCCCGGTGATCGGAAAATTCTCCAGTCATCTCCCTTAGAATTTTAAGTATCTTTTCTTTTTGAAATCTACCCATAATCTGCGCTTTAGTTTTAATGATAAATGGGGATGTTTCGTTAATAGTGGTCCGTTTCTAATTTGAAACATGTCCATTCCAATTCAAGTTCTATTGCAATATAATGAGCTATAATTCCTTTGCCTCCTTCCAGAGAGATTGACTGTTGTAGTCAAGTTTTAGCAATATAAAGCAGACAGTGCTAAGGACCAAAAGGTATACCATAGTTAACCTAGGCTGGGATGTTCCATTGGCCAATCTCCCCAACAAAATGATCCAGAAGACCTAAACAAAAGACTGATCGATCATTAGCCACCCTGAAACCTTAAGTCTCTAAGCATTGAGCTTTGCTCTAAGCTCCTTCAGCTCCTGCTAAAGATTACAGAAGTCCAAGTCACAGTAGGCGTTAAGAAGAACAAGCCCCAAAAACGGGGTCCTATAACTTGAGATTTTTACCTCTTCCACTGATTTTGAGTGCGAGACTCATCAACCTCAGTCATCAACTCGTCAATTTTGTTTAAAATCCCTAATACTATGGTTTACCATAGTTAACTCTAGGTCAGGCTATTGGTGGTGAAGTAGTCGTGCCGGCGGTGGAATTTGTACCAGGGGCGATGAATTAAAACGTTATCGAGAGAACTAGATGGTGACAGCAACCGAAATAAAGGAAATCGTTCCGAGGGCCACCAATTTTCAATGTCGGCTAGCAATTCTCAATTCTTTGGAGAAATCCCCCAAAGAATTGCACAAACAAGGAAAGAGTTGAAAGATATGAGGTCGCAGCCAAGAGACACAAGCTGGCGATCAAGGAAGAGAAAATTGGAATTGGATCTACAGGATCTGCTCTACAAAAATGAACAACGTTGGAAACAAAGATCTATGATGGAATGACTGAAAGAAGGTGATAAAAATACCAAAGCCGTTCACGCCAAGGCCTCGGAAAGAAGAAAGAAGAACAAGATTCGAAAGCTAAAGGATGAGTAGGGAAGAGTTTTCGTGGGCCAAGACGAGGTTACTCATTGCCTTTTCTCATATTACTCTGATCTGTTTGGGAGCAAGACAAAGGTGACGCAATGGAAACCTATTGATGCTGTGGAGCCTAAAGTAATTCTGGAGGTGAACCAAATGCTTCTCGGGCCTTTCACAAGTGAAGAAATTCAATGTGCTCTGTTCCAAATGGGGGCTACAAAGGCTCCTGATGATGACGGTTTCCCAACTCTGTTTTTCTAACGAAATTGGAATACCATTGCCGCGAGAATAACCAACGAGCTGGCAGAGTTCCTTCAACAAGGTACATTCCCACATGAGCTTAACAGAACCCTCAGTGCAAGACGAAGGCAGCAAGGCATTGATGGGGAACG